AGGCTGAGGAGGACTCTCTCTCTAGCCTTTTGAGAAAGGAGGACCAGGCTGCCTGGGAGCCTAGCAGGGTACCTGAAATGGAGCAGTGCTGAGGAAGGGCAGAGGGAGCTGGGGAGCTCCAGCCTAGCAAAGCCACAGGCTGCAGGCCTAGTTAAGGGCTCACAAAGGGATACTGGGGCTGCAGAGAGGCAGCCCAGAGATAGGCAGAGGCAGCTGGTCCAACCCCCCTTGCCGATGATGAGTGGTTTATAGACTGCAGTCCACCCCAGGTAGCGGGGGCTAGATGGTGACTGGCAGTAGCCACTGAGGCAAGGTGGGGATAGAGAGTTGAGGGTTCCCCTGGGTGGGGATACGCAGAGTGTGGGTTACTGCCAGGGCAAAACCCTGACATAGAGGGGCACCGGGGTCCGGGAGGGACACGGGGGCCAGCGGCAGGCAAGACACCGGCCTGCAGAGGGCACTCAGCGCTCGAAGAGCTAATTCCCTGAACGGCCAGCAGGAGGCGCCGCGCCAGTGAGTCTTCACCCCGCCACAATTGTATTCTGTATTGTAACTGAAATCAAAGTGTATATGATTTTTATTACAAATATTTGCACTCTAAAACTGATAAAATAAATAGTATTTTTCAACTCACCTCATACAAGTACTGTAGTGCAGTCTATTTATAGTAAAAGTGCAACTTACAAATGTAGATTTTTTTTGTTACATAATTGCACTCAAAACAAAACAATGTAAAACTTCAGCGCCTACAAATCCACACAGTCCTGCCTCTTGTTCAGCCAATCGCTAAGACAAACAAGTTTGTTTACATTTACAGGCGATAATGCTGCCCTCTTCTTATTTACAATTTCACCTGAAAGTAAGAACAGGCGTTCACATGGCACTTTTGTAGCTGGCATTGGAAGGTATTTATGTGCCAGATATGCTAAACATTCGTATGGCCCTTCATGCTTTGGCCACCATTCCAGAGGACGTGCTTCCCTGCTGATGATGCTCGTTAAAAATATAACGCGTTAATTAAATTTGTGATTGAACTTCTTGGGGGAGAATTGTATGTCCCCTGCTCTGTTTTACCTGCATTCAGCCGTATATTTCATATTATTGCAGTCTCGGATGATGACCCAGCAAATGTTGTTCATTTTAAGAACACTTTCACAGCAGATCTGACAAAACGCAAAGAAGGTACCAATGTGAGATTTCTAAAGATAGCTACAGCACTCGACCCAAGGTTTAAGAATCTGAAGCGCCTTCTAAAGTCTGAGAGGGACGAGGTGTGGAGCATGTTTTCAGAAGTCTTAAAAGAACAACTCTCCGATGCAGACACTATAGAACTCGAACCATCAAAAAAGAAAATCAACCTTCTGCTGGTGGCATCTGACTCAGGCTAGGTCTACACTACCCGCCTAAATCGGCGGGTAGAAATCGATCTCTCAGGGATCGAATTATCGCGTCTCGTCGGGACGTGACAATCGATCCCCGAATCGACGCTCTTACTCCACCAGCGGAGGTGGGAGTAAGCGCCGTCGACGGCGAGCCGCCGAGGTCTATTTTGCCGCCGTCCTCACAGCGGGGTAAGTTGGCTCCGATACGTCGAATTCAGCTATTCGCGTAGCTGAATTTGCGTATCTTAAATCGACCCCCTCCCTTGTAGTGAAGGCCTGCCCTCAGATAATGAAAATGAACATACGTCGGTCCGCACTGCTTTGGATTGTTATTGAGCAGAACCTGTCATTAGCATGGATGTATGTCCCTGGAATGGTGGTTGAAGCATGAAGGGACATACGAATCTTTAACGCATCTGGCACATAAATATATTGCGACGTCAGTTACAACACTGCCATGAGAACACCTGGTCTCACTTTCGGGTAACCCTGTAAACCAGAAGTGGGCAGCATTATCTCCTGCAAATGTAAACAAACTTGTCTGTCTGAGCAACTGGCTGAACAAGAAGTAGGACTGAGTGGACTTTTAGGGTCTAAAGTTTTACATTGTTTTATTTTTTAATGCAGTTATTTTTTGTACATAATTCTACATTTGTAAGTTCAACTTTCATGATAAAGAGATTGCACTACAGTACTTGTATGAGATTAATTGAAAAATACTATTTCTTTTGTTTTTTTACAATGCAAATACCAGTAATCAAAAATAAATATAAAGCGAGCACTGTACACTTTGTATTCTGTGTTGTAATTGAAATCAATATATTTGAAAATGTAGAAAACATCCAAAAATATTTAAATAAATGGTATTCTATTATTGTTTAATCACAATTAATATTTTTAATCTCAAGATTAATCACACACAAAAATTTATCGCTTGACAGCTCTAATTTTAAGGTAAAACACACAGTTATGCCATGGTTGGTAATCAGTCTCTCACCAGAAGCACATGATACTGTCCCTGCTCAACATTGGTTGCCTATTGATTTCCAGGGAGAATGTAGTAATAATACAATTATCTTTTTTAAAAGAGTTTTGATCTATAAAGCCCTAAATAGCTTGGACCTACTTACAAAGGACAGGAGAACCAGCCTCTCTCCCCAGTGCCATACTGCCACTATTTGCAACCATTTGCGGTGCTCAATCTGAATCCTTTTGATTTAAGAGAGGATTGGAGATTGAGCACTCTGAAGGGCCCTCAGCTTTGGAACTTATTCCCACCTTTGAACCAGAATAACCCAGATCTCTATTTTCAGGGCAAAGTGCAAGGTCTATCTATTTTCTTGGGCATTTGGGGAGATGGATATGATTTTATGGGGAATGAGACTTTTTTTGTTAGAGGATGCTGGTGGGTTAGCTGTTAGTTGTAGTTAGATTTTTTTTTATGTTATCATATGCACCTGGAACAAAAATTAGGCAGCTTTTTGTATATTCTATCAGAATGTTACACCTATAAATAAATAAAATAAATGATATGGTAGCTGAGATCAGCAGAGTCATGCAAGGTAACAGCACCTTAGCCTAATTATTAAGGGTGCCAGAGAGGATGATTTCTCAATGAAGGACCTTCAACTATGAAGTTTCCTTCCCCATTTAAGGACCACATCCTTAAATGAACTCTGTACGGGGCTCAACACAACCACAGCTCATTTCAGGACTAGGGCCTAACACTAAGATAACTATCTATTAAAAGTAGGGCTGTCAAGCGATTTAAAAAAATTAATCGCGATTAATCACACTATTAAACAACAATAGAATACCATTTATTTTAAATATTTTTGGATGTTTACTACATTTTCAAATATATTAATTTCAATTACAACACAGAATACAAAGCGTAAAGTGCTCACTTTATATTTATTTTTTATGACAAATATTTGCACTGAAAAAAATATAGATATATATTTTTCAATTCACCTCATACAAGTACTGTAGTGCAATCTCTTTATCATGAAAGTTGAACTTACAAATGTAGAATTATGTACAAAAAATAACTGCATTAAAAAATAAAACAATGTAAAACTTTAGAACCTAAAAGTCCACTCAGTCCTACTTCTTGTTCAGCCAATTGCTCAGACAAACAAGTTTGTTAACATTTGCAGGAAATACTGTTGACCGCTTCTTGTTTACAATAATCACCTGAAAGTGAGAACAGGCATTCGCATGGCACTGTTCTAGCCAGTGTTGCAAGATATTTACGTGCCAGATACACTAAAGATTCATATGTCCCTTCAGGCTTCAAACACCATGCTTCATGCTGATAACAAGTTCTGCTCGATAACCATCGAAAGCAGTGCAGACTGACGCATGTTCATTCTCATCATCTGAGTCAGATGCCACCAGCAGAAGGTTGAGTTTCTTTTTTGGTAGTTCAGGTTCTGTAGTTTCCGCATCGAAATGTTGGTCTTTTAAGATTTCTGAAAGCATGTTTCACACCTCGTCCCTCTCAGATTTTAGAAGGCGCTTCAGATTCTTAAACCTGTCGTGTGCTGCAGCTATCTTTAGAAATCTCACGTTGGTATCGTCTTTGCATTTTGTCAAATCTGCAGTGAAAGTGTTCTTAAAACGAACATGTGCTGGGTCATCATCCGAGATTGCTATACCATGAAATACATGGCAGAATGCAGGTAAAACAGAGTAGGAGACATACAATTCTTCCCCAAGGAGTTCAGCCACAAATTTTATTAATGCATTATTTTTTAACGAGCATCATCAGCAAGTCCTCTGGAATGGTGGCCGAAGCATGAAGGGCCATACGAATGTTTAGCGTATCTGGCACGTAAATACCTTGTAACGCCGGCTACAAAAGTGCCATGCGAACGCCTGTTCTCACTTTGAGGTTAAATTGTAAATAAGAAGAGGGTAGCATTATCGCCTGTAAATGTAAACAAACTTGTTTGTCTTAGCAATTGGCTGAACAGGAAGTAGAACTGAGTGGACTTGTAGGCTCTGAAGTTTTACATTGTTTTGTTTTGAGTGCAATTATGTAACAAAAAATATCTACATTTGTAATTGCATTTTCACGATAAAGAGACTGCACTACAGTTCTTGTATGAGGTGAACTGAAAAATACTATTTCTTTTGTTTGCCATTTTTTACAGCGCAAATATTTGTAATAAAAAATTAATTACAATATAAAGTGAGCACTGTCTACTTTGTATGCTGTGTTGTAATTGAAATCAATATATTTGAAAATGTAGAATAACATCCAAAAATGTTGAATAAATTTCAGTTGGTATTCTATTGTTTAACAGTGCAATTAAAACTGTAATTAATCATGATTAATTTTTTTGAGTTAATCGTGTGAGTTAACTGTGATTAATCGACAGCCCTAATATATATAAGTATGATAAAAAAGCCGACTGAAGTTATATTGGGGTTCAGATATCTATTCACCATCAATAACTGTTTATCAAACTGACTCAATTTACGACTCAAAACTGGATTTTTATCAGTAAATCAAGTATTGCTAGTACTAAGGTGCCATTTTTACAGAATCTCTTTTCTGATCATAACCATACATCTAAGAGAATTGGATGTGAATTAAATAAAATTACTTACTTCCTGTATTTCATCTGGGACAGAGGAGTCCATCAACCTAAACAGCAAATTCCGAAGTGGGCCTGCCTGCCTTCCAAGAATGCTAGTAGCTACTCCTCCAGCTAACGCAAGAGCAAGATGATTAGAAAGCAACTTCAGGCACAACTTCAGGAAATTGTGATGTTCTCTGCAAAACAAAATGTTGTTGTTAATCTTGCCTGTAAATCAGCTTTGGCAATACCAAGTTTAGGTCCCATGGGGAAACAGGATCTTATACATGAGGATATAATCTTTCCAGGCCTCTCAAAAAATCTTATTGACATTCTAATATAAAAGATAGAGTGGTTATCCACCTGAGGGTGGGAGGCCGAGATAGCTGCTAGATGGACCTTTATCGAGCTAATGGCCAAACCTTGCTATTTTAGGCACAAAAGATAGACCAAGATATCCTGGATTGAAGAATGCATCAGCAAAACTGCAGAACCAGACCAACTAGAGAAAAACTTCCCACTTAGAGAGGCCAGTAGTCTTAGTAGATAGTATTCTACTATTCAACAGCACATCTTGAACCTCTTTTGAATACAACTGCTCCCTAGAATCTAACTATGGAGCATCCATGCTGCTAGATGGCGTGTCTGCAGGTTTGGATGGCGCAAGCGACCTGAGTTTTGAGAAATTAGATCTGGGTCCAATGGAAGTGGTATCAGCTTTCACCAAAAGGGACAGGAGGTTGCTCAACCAGGGCAACAGAGAACCCAGACTGTGACCCTGTAGGGAACAAAACTGCTGGCATTTCCTGTTGTATCTCATTGCAAACAGGTCTACCTGGGGAGTCCCCTAGAGCTGGAAAATGAACCTAGCTACATCTGGAAGAAGGGACCACTCATGGTGACTCGTAAATGACCTGCTTAGATAAACTGCCAATGCATTCTGCACTCTGAGAAGGTAATAGACTTTGAGATCAATCGAGCTGGCAATGCAAAAGTCTCATACACAAATTGCATCTTGGCAGAACGGGGATGAGCGGGCCTCTTCTTGTTGGTAGAAACAGAACACTGTTGCTTTGTTGTCTGTGAGAGTGAGCAGGCGTCTTCTCTTGATATGGGGTAGAAAACCTGACATGCCAGGCAGATAGCTGCCATCCCCCTGACATTTATGTGAAGAGTCAGGTCCTTTTTGAACCACAACCCCTGTGAGTGAAGGAAACCTAGACAAGCCCCTCAACCTATGGCAGACACATCCATCCATGGTTGACAAGGGACAAATGGAACTCCTATGCAGATATTAGCAGGGTTCCTCCACCAATCTACAGTGTCTAAAATGTGAGGGGGGGGGGGGGTTTGACCACAGTGTTCAGATGACGACAGTACAGCAAAAATACTGAGGCCAGCCAACTTTGTAGAGTTCTCAGATGCAATCTGGCATACCAGACTATATATGTGCAAGAGGCTGTTTGTCCCAGACAGCCCATACCCAATCACAACTATATGAAATTGTAAGTCTTGAGATCTAAAATGATGGATTGAGTGGTCTGAATCCTTGTCTCTGGAAGGAAAAAAATGGTTACCTACCTTTCTGTAACTATTGTTCTTTGAGATGTGCTGAACATGTCCATTCCACTGTGGGTTTGTGCATGCCTCATGCACAGCTGTCAAATATTTTTTCCTTAGCAGTATCCATCAGGGCAGCGCAAGGGCCCTCTGGTGCATAAAGGGGCACACTGCCCCCAACCTTCCTCAGTTCCTTCATACCAGAAAGACTCTGATAAAGAGGTGAAGGCAGGCAGGTCATGGAATGAACATGTGCAACTCATCTTGAAGAATAGTTACAGAAAACAGGCTTTGCTTCTTTGAGTAATTGCACATGTCCATTCTATTGTAGGTGACTCACAAGCAGTTCAAATTGGCGGTGGGCTCAGAGTCTACTTAAACAAGGATTAAAGGACAACTCGTCCGAACCTGGCATCCTCTCTGAATTGATGAGATATGGCATAGTGAGAAGCAAATGTATGGAGCAAAGACAAGGTAGCTGCCTTACAAATATCCAGAATGGGAATCCTAACCTGCAACCTGGTTGAGTAAGCCATCACTCTACTCAGAGGTGTGATGTCAACCAATGGATAATATAAACAAATGTAGCCGGAGATCCAGGCGGAGATCCTCCAAGTTGAGACTGGTTGGCCCTTTACTCTATCTGAAATGGTGAAGAAGAGTTGAGCCGAAGACCTGAATGACCTAATCCAGTCTTGATAAAAGGTCAAAGCTCTTCTAACATCAAGAGTATGAAGCATTTCTTTCCCTTTACAGCAGCGTTTCCCAAACTTGGAACACCGCTTGTGTAGGGAAAGCCCCTGGCGGGCCAGGCTGGTTTGTTTACCTGCCCCGTCCGCAGGTCCGGCCAATCATGGCTCCCACTGGCTGCGGTTCGCTGCTCCAGGCCAATGGGAGCTGCTGGAAGCGGCAAGGGCCGAGGGACATACTGGCCGCTGCTTCCCGCAGCTCCCATTGTCGCTGCATTGGAGCAGCAAACCGTGGTGAGTGGAAGCCGCGATCGGCCAAACCTGCAGACGTGGCAGGTAAACAAACTGGCCCGGCCCGCCAGGGGCTTTCCCTACACAAGCGGCATCCCAAGTTTGGGAAACACTGCTTTACAGGAATGAGACTTTGGAAAGAATGTTGGTTAAATAAATTTAAATTCAATTTGGAGACCACTTTAGACAGGAATTTAGGGTGAAGCCAATGTAAACCTTGTCCCTAAAGGAAGTTGTATAGTGAGGCTCTGATACCAAAGCTCAGAGCCAAGGTTAGGGCAACAAGGAAAGCTACTTTCACTGACGTGTAACAACAACAAGTTACTAGCAGCTCAAAGAAGTGTGGAATATCAACTTTGCTAGTACTAAACTTAAGCTCAACTGTGAAATATGATAATAAACCTATGGGTATAATATGAACAAATCCTTCAGAAACATGATGGAAATGGGGTTTGAAAAAAATTGATCCGTTATCCACAGGTAGAAAGCTGATAGCACTCCCAGATGGACTCTAATCAAACTAAGAGCCAATCCTTTAAGAACAAAAGATAGTCCAAGACATGGCTAATCGGAGCTTGAGCTGGAGGAATGCCTTTCTGTAAGGACCAGATATAAAACTTTTTCCATTTAGCAAAGTAAGCAGACCTAGTGAAGGCTTTCTGCTATTCAGTAGGACTTCCTGTATCCCCCTTCCTGTATCCCCCTGTTCCAAAGTTGTCAGCCACAAAGAATCAACGCAATCAGCTAGAGAGCTTGAAGCCTGGGATGAAGAAAGAGACCATTGTGCTGGGAGATAAGTTACACCTTTCTCAGGAACGACAGTTGAAGTCTGACTGATAGAGCTAATAGGGTTGAAAACCAATGCTGATGGGGCTATGCCGGGGCTATTAGAACAAAGTGAGCAGAATCTTGCTTAACTTTGGATAAGACTTTGGCCAGGAGCGGAACTGGAGGGAAGGCACAGCAGTCCTCTCAATCAGGCTAGAGTGAAAGCATCTGTCAGTGAATCAGGGCTGAGGCCCCCTCAGGAACAACAAAATATATGACATTTTTTGTTTTATCTTGTTGCAAATACGTCCACTTTGGGAGTTCCCCACTGATGGAATATGGATCTGGAAATGTCCAGTCAGAGAGATGACTTGTGGTGGCCTGTGAACAACCTGTTCAGGTGGTCTGCCAGAGTCTTTTGAACTCCTGGAAGGTAAGGCACTTTCAGGTTGATGGAACTGATGATGCAAAAGTTCCATAGGAGGATTGCTTCCCGGCATAACTTTGTGGATCAGGCCCCTCCTTGTTTGTTTACATAAATCATAGTTGCTGTGTTGTCCATGAGCACCAATAAGTTCCACTCCCTGATGTGTGGAAGGAATGCCATGCAAGCTAGGCGGATGGCACTGACCTCCCTAACATTTATATGGAGTCAGATCCCAGGGAGACCAACGCCCCTGACTCTGAAGGCAACCTAAGTGAGCTCCCCAACGTAGATTCAAAGTGTCTGTGACTAGGGTGAGAGTCTCTTGTGGAGGGGCAAAGGGAACTCTCTCACAAACATCAGCAGAATCTATCTACCAGTCCATGGAGGATAAGACCCGTGGGAGTACTTGAACCACCATGCTTGCATGATGACAGGCTGGTGAATACACTGAGACGATCCAACCCTGTAAATGTCTGAGATGCAGTCTGGCATGCTGTATCTTGTAAGTCCATGCTGCCATGTGACCTAGAAGTTTGAGGCAGTTCCAAACTTTGATGATAGGATGCACCTTTAGACCTAGAGCAATAAGACACATAGCTTGGAACCTCCACTATGGTAGGAAAGCCCTGGCTTTGTAGAGTCCAGGACTGCCGCAATGAATTCTTTTCTTTGTACAGATGGCAGGACAGATTTCTATGCATTGATTAGTAGCCCCAGTACATCAAAAGTGGATTGAATACTGGCTATGCTGGAAAGAACCTGAGATCTGGACCGGGCTCTTACTTGCCAGTCATCCAGGTAAAGAAATACACGGACTCCTAGCAGTCAGGATGATAGTGATGGCAGAAACCACGGTCCTAGTAGCTGAGTCAGCTGCATCCAAATCGGCCTGGAGTAAAAGTTCTTCCCATCAACTTCCCTTTATCTACCAGCGAAAGGAACTTCTGCTTAGTCTCCTCAGGCAACTTGTTCTTAAATTTTTAGAATAACATCACAGATCTTAGTCATATCACCCTAATTAAGCCTGTTGGCTGGTGATTCTAAGCTATAACCCTGCCATAGAATATTTTTTTCTCAACAAGTCCAGCTTTTTTGCATCCCTTGACTTAGGAGTAGATGCCTGATTCCCCTAGCACTCCCTCTGGTTGGCAGCGGAGACAACCAGTCACCTTGGAGGGTCGTGGGAATAAAAATGCTCAAAACCCTGGGTGGGCACAATACCTATGCTCCACTAGCTTTGCTGTGGGAGGGAGAAGAGTTTGTCAGAGAGCCTTGTTAGGTTCTAAAATTGCTTTATTAATTGGCAGAGCCACCTGAGATGGAGGCATCAATGAGGCAGTGAGAAGATTCCCTAACTGCCTCCACCTGAATATCTACGGCCAAAGGCCCCCTTTTTTAAGAGCTCCTGGTGAGCCTCACAGTCATCAGGAAGGGGCAAAAACATCCCCAAGGAAACTGCTTCATCTGGAGAGAAGGATGAAGCTAGCACAGGTTGAGGCTGTGCCTCCTTTGTTAGCTGTCCTGTCAGATGGTTCATAACACCTTCTTCCTGCTCAGTACCAGACCCAGTACCAGGATCAGGAGGGGATCGATGAATTGATTTCCCACGTCTACCTGAGGAAACTGAATGTGACTAACATAGGGAGGATTCGGAAGGGGAAGGAAACCCCAACCCACAAGTTCCAGAAAGACCAGTGAAAGGGCGCTGGACCCCAATGTCTGACAGGCCACATGTCCATGTCAGCACCAGTCTCTCAGGCTCTTGCAAGTACCCCAGGTGGTAAGGTCTAGGAGAAGAGTGACAAGACACACTTTGCACCTGGGAAACATAAGAGCCAACCTCCAAGTCAGAAGAGTTGCTTTCTCCTGACCAATCCAGTCAGCACTGGGAACTGGTGCCAGGAGTCTGGGGAAAAGCGAAGACAAGACATTATTGCTGGCTTACATCTCTACAGTACCAAAGAATAAGAGCTCCAGAATTCAGGAGGTTGACTTGATGCTGGGCACTGAGGAAGCTGAAGTCAAGCGGTTTACCGCTACAGAAGGAGTGATCTCCTGCACTGGGGAGACTGGCATCAATAAGCTCAGCAACCCTTTTGCAGCTTGAGGGTGCAGATGGTACTGGGACAGTCTCTGACTGGTGCACAAGATATATAGATAATGCCAGAGGTGATGATGCTGCTGCTTTGGACCCTAGACTTGATGGTGCCTAGCCCAACACCACAATCAACAGTGCCGACCCAGCTGATGGAGGAGTTGAGGAGTGCTTTGATTTTAACTGCACTCTATTCAACACTCTGTTCCCTTTCTTGGAAGACTGAGGGAACAAAGATCTGCCTCTCCCAGCAGTGTCCTTGGAAGTCTTCTACTCTTTCCTCGGCACTGGTGATGGAGAGCAGTGCCAGGACTCAGTCAGCATCAGAGGTGCATGTCTCACAGATGCTGAAGTTCTCAGTACCATCTCTGACCAAGAAGGCGCTGAAGGTGGTCTCAGAGCAGCCTCCATCAAAAAACTTCAGCCTTGCCTCTCCATCTTTCTTAAGCTTCAAGTCCTTGCAAATCTGGCACTAATCCCTAATATAAAACTAATCCTAGCACTTCAAACTAGAGTGCGGGTTGCTCACAGGCATGGGCTTACAGCACTCCAGGCAGGGCTTGAATTCCAGTGCCCAATGCATTCCTTGGTACCGATAATGGAACCCCAAACTTGACAAACTGAGAATAAATTAACTCAACAAATACTAACTAACCCTAATAACTATACAAATATGTAATTACATACAAGAAAAAACAGCTGAGAGAACTTGTTAAAGCAAGGCCAACAGATTAAAACAACTATCACAGGCAGTAAGAAGGAACTGAGGGGAGCCGGGGTGGCTCCTCCCTGTATACATGTATGTAATGGCTTGCTGCTGCAGAAGGCACACAAGCTGCCTCGATGGGTACCACTGAGGGGGAAAAAAATTGACAAAAGTCCTTGGGATGTACGCACACCAAGAGCGGAATGCACATGTGCAATCACTCAAAGAAGAGTAGTTTGATTTTTGGCATTGAAAAAAATATTGTATTGCGAATCAAAATATACCTGAAATGCAAAGGCTGTTTAATCCAGGAAACCCAAATCTTTACTATTAAAAACAAAACCATACACCACTATTCAAACAAACAAAACTAAACATGCATATCCTATATAGATACCTTGATGAAGGGAAAGGAAGAGGGGGAATCTCGCTGTTAATTTTATCACAGTACCGCTCAAGAAAGGACCGGAGATGGGAGAAGGTACTTTCTTCAAGGTCTACACAGTATGGTCTGTGCCATGCAACAACTTGTCTGGAATCAAACATAAGAAATGCATGAAGTACACTGAAATAAATGCACATGTAAAACATGCAACTATCTGTATAATAAATTAACAAATACAGTAAGTTAATATGGTTGTCATGTCAAGGACACTATCATTGCATTCCTTGACAGCAGGGACACTTGCTGGGATTGTCTGGGTTTCTCTCACTTAATTCTCTGCCATTGCAGGGACTTCGCACATTGGTACACCTCAGCCCCTCCTATTCTCTGCCTGTGGCACATAACAGTTTAGTCTCCTGTGGCGTGTAATACTTCAGTCTAAGTTTGGTTGTTGGATTCAGTGTGTGGATTCTGAGTAGTGTTGGTGGCCTGTGATATATAGGAGGTCAGACTAGATGATATGGTGGTTCCTTCTGGCCTAAAACTCTATGACTCTAAGGTTCTGGCTCGCAGCTTGACCTAACAAAATAGTTATAATCTGATGCTTGTAGCTAGTTTCTCTCTTTTCTGTAAATGTCTCTTTGAATCAAACACTGAGCAACTAAAACAAAAGATGTGCTTTTATGGGTACCTTAAATATAGGGACATGGGATTTTTTTTGCAGCTGATTCTTAGAGGAGCTGTAAAACAATCTCAAAGCTAGTTTGGCATCATGAAAGTTACTAATTCACTACAGACATTTTGACATAATACTGGCAGATTTTGAAGGGATGCAGTCATTTGATATTTGAAATTAACTAATTTTTGAAAATTCCATTTTCTATTATAGCTCCCTTTAAAACAGAACGTTTTGAAAAAAAATTCTGAAATCCTTAAAAAATCCTTGTTAAGCGTTCCTCTGATTCTATATTGCTTTTTATCAGGGTCTTCTCCATTAAACTGCTTCAGCTTCAACCATGGACAAGGGCTAAAACAATTTTTAAATTGATTTAGGTCAACCAGAGCAAACACCTACATGGACATACTTATTTTGAAGTTAGAATGGCTTATTTCAGTTAACTTAAACCAATTCCCAATTACGTTAAACTAAAAAAAGCCTCTCAAACTGAAGGGTGTCTATCCATGGGGTTTGTTTACACAAGACCTAGACAATTTTTTCCTTGCTAACAGATTATACAGGGAAACAGTGTAACTGACTCAAAGTGCTGTCATATCCACAAAATAAACAAACTTGAAAAACAATTATTTTTCAACTTTTCAGTTTTAATAACCTTAAATGTTCTTTGTCCAATAGTAGGTACAATGCCTTCAGAGAAAATATTTTTGAATTGACAGTGTCCCTATCTGTTATAACTGTTAAACATAAACCACGATTAAAAAAACCCAAAACAGAAAATCTTTAAAGCATTATAAACAGAACTATTACAATACTGTAATGTACAATCCTGTTAACAAGCAAAATGAAGAATTTTAACACACATCAGTGTATTTTTATAGAATGTAGTATTTTACCTGTCCCTTGGAAGGGCTGTCCAGGCAAGGCTATGAGAAGTGCCAGCTGAAATCTGCTGAATTGCTATTCCGTCTAAACCACTTACTTTCTTTGGTTTAGTAATGGGACCAGTGGAATTTCCCTGACCGCACTGTCCCATGGAATTGTTACCCCAAGCATAAACTTCATTATCTAAAGAGACAATCAAAGAAGGAAACAAAATTTGAGGCTCAGTGACTTTTAATCAAAGATGATTATAAATACCCTATGTAGCATATTTATTTTACCATGAGAAAGTGCCAAACAATGGCTGTCACCAATTGAAGTATCAACTATTCTTGTAGCAGCCAGCTCTTCAATCAGCTTGGGTCTAAGAGCAGTAGCTTCTGAAGAACCACAGCCCAGGCATGCACCACAGCCCCATGCATATACCTAAAAACACAAATATACATATAAGTTTTCAACACAATATTATTGGTATTTGTCAAGAGACAGAGCTACAGAAGATTGTGTGTGTGTGTAATTACTGCAATTATACCTGTAATTGCACAAGCAAATTATGTATGTATACTTGTATTTATACATTCTGTACAAATCTGGGCTCTGATACACCCATTTATATATAAATTCCTAACTTCTCCTCCATAAATTAATTATACACATTATGCCACAGAAAATTCTTCGGGCTAACAATTCTCCAATACATAACACAAGAAAAAATATTTGAGAGATTAAATGACCTCAAACCATCATAATTTCCAAAAGCATCATAACATATAAGCTATATAAGATTATTCTCCTGTTTTTAGTCCCAACATTATTTGTCTAAAACCATCCTCTTGTGGGTAAATTTAATTCCAAATTCCTTCCCATTTGTAGACTTAAATTTCATTTAATCACACCTCAGAATACCTTTACAAACAAATCAAAACAAATACTAAAAGAGTTGCAATTACATGCCAAGTAACTGGGATAGAAAGAGATTTTAGTAAGGGTCTTGAACAAATATGGTTGTTGAAATTTAGCAAACAATGCAGCAATCAAAATTTATCTGAAATTATGTATAAACCTTAAAAAAATATTTTCTTTGGTTATCAAGACTCTTGGGCCCCAGACCTTTTCTTTACTATCTGACATGGACAGGAATGGACTGCTGAATCCGGCCTCATGTGCATATATGGCTTTATATAAACAATGTATTCAAACCTATTAACTATATATGCTGTAATGTTCATTAAGACTATGAAATATTCTATATAATAGCTAGACATTTCTGTATTATCCTTTAAAAGAGAACCATTGCAAGACTGGGCCTTTGATGTTTTGCATTTATAATATAGAAATGTATACTAAATATACAGATAAAAATTACAAACTGTAGTTCTAGTCTGTAAAGATAAACATATATTCTTTTTCTGTGTATATCATAATCTTGGGAATTTTTTCCCTATAGACTGAAGAATTCATGTGGCACTTGAATATTATACTACAGCTATAGTACATTACTGGAAAAGAGAAATAATTGTTATATGACAACTGTGATTATAAACTATGAGATTAGTTACCACTTGTACCAATTTTGATCTTGAGGAAGGATGATAGCACTGAATAAGTTATTGTGGGATAGCTCCTAGATATGTTAATAAAGTTGTGGCCTAGTTTAACCACGCCTGATGTCTTGTCTTTCTTCCAACTATGTTTGGGACAAATTATACTTCTCTAAATTGTATTTCTCTAAACAGAGCATCTATGCTAAGTAAAATTTTACATACCTGTTGTAGAACATTTAAGATGGTTTTTTGGTTTTAAAGTGTCTCAAAGGTGTATATACCTTTTCATAATTTTAACCAAAGCAATAACCATACACATTTAAATAACAAGTCTCAGGCATCTTCTCAAATATTAAGACGGTCATTCAAGTGAAAATATCTTTTTGCCTACCTGTCCTGTTGATGTCAAGGCAAGTGAAGATTGGCTCCCAGCACACACTTTGCGAATAAACATTCCTTGTAAAGCTTCTATAACTTTAGGTTTATATACTCTATTGGTATCACCATGGCCAAGTTTACCTATCAGACACAAGGTAATATTAGACTAAAATAAACTACAGTTATGACAGTTATGTGAAGATTTAACTTCCCAATCAAAAGTCTTTTAGATTTCTAAACATTTGCCTCAGTGTTTCTCTTTGGTAGGGAAGTGTTTTGCTTTATTTTTAAATTATTTTATTTTGCTATTCAGTAGAAGGAAGCATAAAGGTGGTGCTAGATGTTTACTGAACACACACTTAGCATGCTAATTGATTTTTTTTTTTACTGGTGTGTTGCTTAGCTCCTCATTTTGTGATCCATCATTTACGTAAGTCCTCTTAAATGTGAAGCCTTAGCATGTTTAATAAAACAAAAATCCAACTGTATTTTTTTCAACTTAAAGGATGGCCTGAAAAGCTTTTCTGAAGTTTTCTAACAGTCCTTCATATGTTAATATGTCTGTTTTTAAGCCCTTCACATAATTTTAAGGTTTTCTATCTTTTATTCCTCCTTGAAGTTTGTCTTTTGGATTCAGCCCTTTGCCCTCAGCAGTTCACATAACATCATTTTCTGTGAAAGAGCAGTTGTGACCGGATGTATAAATCCCACACTAGACCTGAAGGAGTTAAAGAGCAACCGTAGGCCCAACCGACCCAGCCCAGCTGCACCTGCAGAGCATGTTTCAGATGGAGGAGGAAGCTTAAAAGGAAGTCAGACAGTTCAGAATGGGGCTGAACAGGCAGGGAGAAGGACCTGCCTTGGGAGGTGCTGCAGGAGCTTTCATCTGGAGAAAAGGAGCCTAACTGCTGTGCCCAAAGTGAAGGACAGTCCATACCTTTCTCTTTTACCGGTCCACCACAGACTGCAAAACTTGGATTATAGAGAGTGGGTGATAAGGAAATGGCCCAGGGAGGGCACCCTTAAGGCTCTCCTAGCTGCCAGACCCTTGCTAACCCTTGCAGGGCCCTGGATTGGAGCCCACCTCCGCATTAAGGAGGGCATGACTCAGGCCTGGTCTACACTATGAGTTTAGTTCGAATTTAGCAGCATTAGATCGAATTAACCCTGCACCCGTCCGCACAACGAAGCTATTTACTTCGACATAAAGGGCTCTTAAAATCGATTTTTGTACTCCTCTCCGATGAGGGGAGTAGCGCCAAAATCGACATTGCCATTTCGAATTAGGGTTAGTGTGGCCGCAATTCGACGGTATTGGCCTCCGGGAGCTATCCCACAGTGCACCATTGTGACCGCTCTGAACAGCAATCTGAGCTCGGATGCACTGGCCAGGTAGACAGGAAAAGCCCCGCGAACTTTTGAATTTCCTGTTTGCCCAGCATGGAGAGCACACATGACCACGCAGAGCTCATCAGCATAGGTAACCACGCAGTCCGAGAATCGAAAAAGAGCACCAGTACAGATTGTACGGGAGGTACTGGATCTCATTGCTATATGGGGAGAGCATTCCGTGCTAGCAGAACTTCATTCCAAAAGACAAAATGCCAAAACGTTTGAAAAAATCTCCAAGGGTGTGTTGGAGAGAGGCCACAATAGGGACTCACTACAGTGCCGCATGAAAGTTAAGGAGCTCAGACAAGCCTACCAGAAAACCAAAGAAGCAAACGGAAGGTCCGGGGCAGAGCCGCAGACATGCCGCTTCTACGCTGAGCTGCATGCATTCTACGGGGGGCCGCCACCACTACCTCACCCCTGACCGTGGATTCCGAGGAGGGGGTAATCTCAGCCATGCCTGAGGATTCTGTGGACAGGGAAGATGAGGAGGAGGACAACGACGATGAGCTTGCGGAGAGCACACAGCACTCCGTTCTCCCCAACAGCCAGGATCTTTTTCTCAGCCTCACTGAAGTAACCTCCCAAAGCATTATCCCAGACCATGAAGCCATGGAAGGGACCTCTGGTGAGTGTACCTTTGTAACTATAAAACATGGTTTAAAAGCAAGCTTTTTTTAAATGATTAATTTGCCCTGAGGACTTGGGATGCATTCGCGGCCAGTACAGCTACTGGAAAAGTCTGTTAACGTGTCTGGGGATGGAGTGGAAATCCTCCAGGGACATCTCCATGAAGCTCTCCTGGAGGTACTCTAAAAGCCTTTGCAGAAGGGTTCTGGGCAGTGCAGCCTTATTCCGTCCTCCATGGTAAGACACTTGACCACGCCATGCTAGTAGCAAGTACTCTGGTATCATTGCATGACAAAGCCTGGCAACGTATGGTCCCAGCGTTTGCTGGCATTCAAGCAACATCCGTTCCTTATCTCGCTCTGTTATCCTCAGGAGAGTGATATCGTTCATGGTAACCTGGTTGAAATACGGGAATTTAATTAAGGGGACAGAGGTGGCCGTTCCTACTGGGCTGTTTGCCTGTGGCTGAAAAGTAATCCTTCCCTGCAGTCAGCCAAGGGGGGGGGGGGGGGGGAAAAGGGAATTGGTTCCCCGTTTGGCTAACAGGTATCTCCCCTGATCCCAGCCCCGCGGTGGGGGGAGGGGTAAAGCGATCATCCCAGAGAATTGGATGCCGGGGGGGGGGGGGGGGGGGGGAAAGGGAATTGGTTTCGCGTTTGGCTAACAGGTATCTTCCCTGATACCAGCCACGCGGTGGGG